CCGCCGCCGCCCCCGCGCCCCTCCCCAGGACCCTGGGGCCTGAGGCCCTCCGCCTGGAGCCTCCTCCCCCCCAGGGTACCACTCTACACAGCACCCCCCAGCTGGCCTTTCCGGCCCGGCGCAGCCTCGGCGCCCCCCTGGTGGTTCGGCCGCAGGACCGAGAACCCTTACTCGGACGTCTGGGACTGGGGGTGGGGGCTGGACTAGGGCGCCTCGGCCCCGCCCCTCCCCGCCCCACCCTCCCCTGCCCGTCTCCCCTCGCAGCCCCCGAGGCCTCTGGGAGAGTTCAGCTCCCCCCGCAGCCGGCACGGCTCCGGCTCCTACGGCCCCGAGCCCAACGAGGCGAGGTCCGCATCCCAGCTGGAGCCAGACCGCCGGTCCCTGCCCCGGACGCCGTCTGCCTGTGAGTGCCCCCGGCGCCCGGAGCGCAGAGGGTGGGCTGGGGACACAGGATGGGGACCCAGGGACCGGGAAGAGGAACGGAGGTTGCGCTGCAGCAGGAGGGATCGAGGGTAGACGCGAGGGAGAACTTCCCGCCCACGTGCCTCTGCGCTCTCCCGCCCCTGCAGCCTCGCTCTACACCAGCAGCACCCAGCGCTCGCGCTCCAACTCCTTCGGCGAGCGTCTGGGCAGCGCAGGTGGCGGGGGCGGCGGCGGCGGGGGCGCCTGGAGGGTCCGCGCCCTCGTCTCCCACTCGGAGGGCGCCAACCACACGCTGCTGCGCTTTTCTGCGGGAGACGTCGTGGAGGTGCTAGTGCCGGAGGCCCAGAACGGCTGGCTCTATGGCAAGCTGGAGGGGTCATCCACGTGAGTGAGAGCCTGGGGGCGCAGGGAGGGTTGGAAGGAGGACCCGGGAGGCCTGGACTCGAGCTGCAACTGAGACTTCCCGGACAGAGGCTTCTTCTGCCGCTCCCACTGGGACCTTGGACAGCTCTTCCCTTTTCCCATCTCCCCTCCACTCCCGGCTCAGTTTTCTCATCCGTTTAGTGGGGGTAGGAAGAGCCTCCTTACCAAGTTCAGGGTGGTGGCGCTTGAGAGGGTGGTAGAGAATGGAGAATGGGAAGGCCCTCTCACTAGCGTGGAACGTTAGAGGAACCTTATTGCCTGAGCACCTACTGTGCACCCGACACTGCCAGAGAGGGGCAGCTTCCTCTCTGTATGCTGAGGGTCAGCCAGAGCTCTGGTGGAGGGATGCTCAGGGAGGTGGGCCGCCCTCCCACTGGGCACAGAAACAGTGCTGGGACCTTGCAGGCTGAGCGTGCGTGGCAGGCGGGGATAGGGAAGTACATTGTGGTCACCAGCAAGCCTGGAGGAGAGCAGGGGTTGGAGGGCAGAAAGGGATTGTGTATGGATCACTCTTGCTGGAGAAAAGGGGAGGAGGTGGGAGCTTACCGGAGCCAGGCAGTGCCCCCCCACAGGGCTTTATGGGCAGGAGACTTGTGTGGCCCACTCCCACTCCTGCTAAGGAAAAGGAATGAAGGAGAACAGTAATGAGGGCATGAGTGAATGAACACATAGACAGAGGAGTCAGCAGGTGCATGAGAGGGTGGCGTGCGAGTTAGTGGATGGTGGTCAGGAGGAGGATGGATAAGGGGGTGGTCCTCTGGGCAGGTGGATGCATGCTCATGTGAGTGGATGGGTAGATGGCTGGATAGGTGGGGGCGGCAGGCAGGTGGGCAAGTGGCGATGGACGGATTAGTGGATACACAGTGGGTTAGTGGCCCATGGGTGGTTGCCCACATGAATCATGGATGGGTATGTGGACAGACGCATAGGTGATGTGTGGACAGGATGATGCAGTTAGGCACAGAGGTGTATAGACAGGTAGATGAGATGGCAGGTGACTACATGGATCAGGAATGGAAAGATGGGCCTGGGGGTAGACAGGTGACTAAGCACACAAATGGCAGAAACACCTGCTTTGCAGACCCACGTCAGAGGGCAGCAAGGTGCCACCCTGAAAGTCCCTGCAGTAGGTGTGTACCAGACTTCCTGGGGACCTGATGATCAAACCTTCTGGGTGGGTGTTCTCAAACCTTGTTCCAGGGACATCATCCCTTCTGTGACTCACAGGTTAGGGAAAATGATGGCAAGTTTTACTATCAGTAGGCACTTTATGGTGAAAACAGAAATAAAAATACTGCAATGGTTTTATTCTGTCAGTTTGAGTCAAAATAGTTTCCAGTTACCTTTATGTGAGAATGTAATTGATTGGGCTGTGGGGTCTAAAGTGGCTTTATGGAGGACGTTTTCCCGGGTGTTCTGCAAGAATCTGATGGCTTCTGTGGACTCTGAAAAGGCTAAGTCACATCAATCACAGTGTCTCCCCTCAGCCCTGGCTGCTCTCGAGGTGCAGGAATGAGCGTCCAGCTGGGCAAAGACTCCCGGAGCAGGGGCCTGGGGTCACCAGAACCAGAGGGCAGGATCTGGGCTGAAGAGCAAAGAGCACTGGGTTGGGAGTCAGTCATCCTGGGCTCGGGCCCCCTTCCTCTGGGCTCCTACAGTTGCACATAGTGTCCTCCCCACTCCCAACCTGGTCCCCTTCTCTGTCAGCCTTGTCAACATCTGCTTGGGTGTCTGTCTCCCTGCCAGGCTGGGCGTCTCTGGGGAGCAGGACCGCCTGGCCCTCTGGGCCTTCGCGTGGTGGGCGCTCGGTGAGCAGGGAATGACGTGGTCACCGTATGTCCTTGGACACACTGCTTTCCTTCTCACTTCTCCACTTTCTCCTTTTAAGGTGCTCCAGCCCCTGGTGGGACATGAGGCTGGACGGGTGGTCTTGAGTGCCGAGAAAGACCTCCTTCAAGGGATTAAATGAGTTACTCTCGGCGAAGCCCCCGGAGCGAGGCCGGCCCCCGCAGGGCCAGTGACTGTGTTCCTCTTAGAAGTGGTATTTGACCACTTCTCTGCTTCTGCCCCACAGGAGTGGCTGGTTCCCCGAGGCCTACGTGAAGCCTTTGGAGGATGTGCCCATGAACCCCATGAACGCCTTGAACCCGGTGACCTCCATGAACTCCATCAATGCCTTGAACCCAGTGACCTCCATGAACCCCATGAGCCCTATGAATGAGCTACCTTCCAGGTACCTGGGTGGTCAGAGGTGGGGCAGGGGTGGGGACTCCGGTGGGGGGTGGCGCCCCCAACCTGAGGGGGGCATCTATGAGTTGCAGTCCTGAGTGGGCCCAGCCCCCTTTAGCCTCTGGAGAAAAGGCGCCCCATCTCTCTACCTGTGAAGGTCATTGTTTCCATCCCTCTGCCTCCAAGCCCAGTCTCCTCTCACCCGGGTGCAGGGGAGGAGGCTGCGGGCTGCTCAGGGGCCCCGCAGATGGGGTTGGTGCAGCAGGGCTTGACCCCTAGACATCTCTCCTCCCCTCCTGTCTCTGGATTCAGGTCCTACCCACTCCGGGGCAGCCACAGCCTGGATAACCTCCTGGACCGGCCAGGCAACTCCACAGCATCCTCAGAGTACTGGGACGGCCAGTCCCGCTCTCGAACCCCGAGCCGGGTGCCAAGCCATGCCCCCAGCCCTGCACCTACACCCTTGCCTGGCAGCCGCCGAGGTAGCATGGGCAGCATGGGAGTGCCCAGTGATGTCAAGGTGAGCCCCCTCTCCCAAGCTTGTCCTCAACTCTGGGGTCATCCAGTGGGCAGGGAGGCCAGAGACCAGGTAACCCTCTCTGCTTTGCCACTGTGTCTGGCAGTGGACCCTCGCACCCCAGCCTCAGTCTGCCCAGCCCTGCAGGGAAGGGTGGGGGAAGCACTCATTTCAGGCACTGGACCCCTAGGTGTCCTGCTGGGAGCACTGGAAAAGGCCAGTCCTCCCTCCTCCTCAGGGGAGGCCAGACCAGGGTCCTGGGTCAGAGCCTGGCAGGGGCAGCCTGGGAGGGCAGGGGAGACACCTCCCATGGGGTCATGTCTGGGGGTGGTGCCGAGCCCTGGAGATGGTACGCTGGCCCAGAGGCTTCTCAAGTCTGAAACCCACAGGATCCTGGGCTTCAGAACACCAGGGCTGCATTTCCCATAAACCTAACACCGCAGAGGCCTCTGGTCCAGTCCTCTGCCCTTCTAGAAGTGGGAGAAGGGACAGGGGCTTGCTTGTTCCTTACCCCCCAAACCCAGCTCTTCCTCCACTCCCACTGCAGAAACTTATGTCCTGGGAGCAGCACCCCCCAGAGCTCTTCCCCCGGTGAGTCCTTGAGCAGGGGTCGGAGGGGACTGGGCTCAGCGGAGGGCTGTGGGGGAAACAAGGTGGGGTGGAGGTGACCCAGTCGGGGCAGAAGTAAGGGTGGATGCCTGGCTCAGGTGTCCAGCTGTCTTCTCTGGACTTACAGACAGACAGACAGACAGACAGACAGACAGCTGGGGACCCAGGCCTCTCTCACCCCAGCCTCTCTCCACAGGGGCACAAACCCCTTTGCCACCGTGAAGCTGCGTCCTACTGTTACCAATGACCGTTCAGCGCCTCACATCCGCTGAGGTGCCTTCCTCCATCAGGGGTCTGAGGTCGCCACCCCCGCCCCCACCTGCCCAGAGGCTGCCCAGAGCTGGCGGCAGCAGAAGCGGCAGTGGATCCAAGAAGCCTGGGCCCTGGTACTGGGGTGGCTGCCCTTCCCCAAACCGCGCCTCCAGCCTGAGCAGCTCAAAGCCACTGGCCTGCAGTCTGGGGCCTTCAAAATCACACAGGCAGAATTGGGGGACAGAACCATTCCTTCCCTTCCAGGGGCCCCAGGTCTCTCCCTGGGGCGGCTACCTCATGCCCCCAACCCTTTTCCTCTTTCTCCGCCTCGGTGGGGTGGAGCCCCTTGCATACCCCCTCCCCTGCCCCACACACGTCTCCCTGTTGAACTTTCGTAAACAGTGAGAAATAAAGCAATGGGACATGGCAGCGGGTCTGGTGGTGTCTGGTTTGGGCGACCAAGCAGCAGGTGGGGACGGAGACCTCCCATTGGAGAGGAGTCCAGGAGCCTGCAGGTCCCTGGCACTCGCCTGGGAGGCCTCACTCACTCCCAGCCCCTCACATCCTTCATCTTAAGCAAGTCTTCAGGACCCCCTAAAGCCTTCAAGCTTGATCCCCTCATCTCCAGCCCTCATTTCTGCTGTGGGTTACCCAAGAAATAGCCCCTTCTCCAGAGGAGGCGGGGTGGCAGTGGTCAAGGTCCGGGACCACAAGCCCTGGAGGCCCTGGACACAGCACCCTTTGTTCTGCCCCTCCCTAGCTTTCCTCCTGGATTAGCCTTATCCAGGGGAAAGCCACAGAGGCCCCCCGCTGGAATGTGGCCTGGGGTGGGGGGCAGGCAAGGGATTCACGTGATTAAAACTGGTGGGGTCTCTCCAGAGCAGGACTGTGCCCCCAGCCCCACGAAGACCCCCTGGGGCAGGGCTCTGTGTCTCCTCCACCAGAGGATCTAGGAGGTGGAGGGGCCTCCTTGTCTGTCTAGCTCTCCCTAGGCAGGCCTGGAACAGGGGACACCAAGATTGCTCTCTGCCCTGTCCCTCTCCCCTCCCAGACAAAAGCCTCTTAGTGGGTGGGGGTGGAGGAACACTCTAAGCCCCAGGCCTGGGGTAGCGGGTTGTAGAAGTGAGAGCCAGGACAGCCACTGATCTGCAGGCAGCCCAAGAGTCTTCAGCACCCCCACCCAGCCCCATCACGGGGGAGCCAGTGGGACAGACCCTCCCGCAGGCCTCAGATGTGAGACCGGACACTCAAACCCACGGGACGGCTCTGGTGAGTGTGGGGCAAAGGCTGCCGGGGTTCACCCTCTTATCCCATGATGAGAGGACAACAGGCAGGAAAAGCCAGAACATGGTCCTGGTAGGGGAGGGGCAGAGTCCCAGATGCCCACAGAGCCCTTGGCATTGCCCAACCCGAGGGAGACCCCAGGTCTGGAGAGGCCTCTGGAGGGAGGGAAGCTTCTGCTTCGGAGCTTCGGAGTGGGTTTCTGCATGTGTAGGAGTTGGGGCACTGATAGGGTTTGGCCTCTCAAAGGTCCCCATCTGTCCAGTGGGGGCCAGAGCTCCAACCCCCACCCAAGATTCTCTGCTGGCCTGGGGTGATCAATCACTCATCTTATAGGCTCAGCGAGGGTAGGGGACCTGTCCAAGTTGCCGAGTAAATTCAGGGCTAAGCTGGGATCAACTGGAACTCAGCCCCCTTGGCTTCTGAGACAAGGCTAATGTTCTGTTGTAAATGCATTCTTGGTTTTTTTCCATAATGTTCTAATGACAATTGTCACTCCTGGTCATTGAGAAAAATTAGGAACATACTACAAGGCCACGGAAGAAAATAAACTCTACCCGTTTTGCGGCTGGTGCCTATCTCCCCCCCTCCCACGTTTGTTCCTTTGTCCTGAGACCCTCAAACATGCACAGTGGGGGACACTGGTGGTCCCCACCTACACCTCCAGGAGCACACTGGCTGCCACTCACCAGCACCCCCTCTCCTGCCACCACTAGGTCCTGAGGAGCAAGGACTGCCCTCCAGAGGCAGCCTTCCTGAAGTCAAAACTCAGGTGGGAGAGCTCTATCATCCTCCCATGACTTCACAGGCCCCTTGGAGGAGGGAGGTTTGGCGTGAAGTTCCTAATAGGGTTTCCCCTCCTGGCTTCATTCCCTGAGCAGGGCTCCCGTGGGTAGGCCAGACCCCACACTTGATCACCGTCCTCCTTCCTTGTCTGAGCTACAGACCTTCTTGGCTCCCTCTCGCCCGCCCCCCTCTCCTTCAGCAGAAGCAGTGGCGATGGGAGCCGGCCCCCGGAGGGGCGTGGGCCCCCCGGATGGTGGCTGGGGCTGGGCCGTGCTGGGTGCCTGCTTCGTGGTCACGGGTTTCGCCTACGGCTTCCCCAAGGCCGTGAGCGTCTTCTTCCGCGCGCTCATGAGTGACTTTGGTGCCGGCTACAGTGACACGGCCTGGGTGTCCTCCATCATGCTCGCCATGCTCTATGGCACCGGTCAGTACTCCCTCCCCAGGTCCAGGACTGGGGGTCGGGATTAGAGACCAGGAGAGCCTGGCCACTTCATCATTTATTCCCGGGGCTCCTTGGGGTAGGCACTTCCAGGGCTGGGAGGTGCAAAGCCTGGAGTGTGTCTGCTGGAGGGGGAGATTATCCAGCCCGAGTTGTGACTCTGCCCTGTCCACAGGCCCGGTGTCCAGCATTCTTGTCACCCGTTTTGGCTGCCGCCCAGTGATGCTGGTAGGTGGGCTGTTGGCCTCGGCGGGCATGATCCTAGCATCCTTTGCCACGCGCCTCTTGGAGCTGTACTTGACAGCTGGGGTGCTGACAGGTGAGGGCGTCTGCTGCTCTCCTCCCCTAGGGGGCTGTGGGTGGGGATTAAGAGTCCTTGCTGCAAGAACTCCTCTCCTCAGTTTCCCCACGAGGGGCTGTCCTCCAACTTTGTCGGCTCAGTCCCCCAAGGTCTGCCCCTCCCTCCTGCTATGGGGTGGGGACGCCCTGGGGAACCCGGCACAGCGCCGCCTCGCCCGCAGGCCTGGGCCTGGCCCTCAACTTCCAGCCGTCGCTCATCATGCTGGGGCTGTACTTCGATCGGCGGCGGCCTCTGGCCAACGGGCTGGCGGCGGCGGGCAGCCCCGTGTTCCTGTCGGCGCTGTCGCCGCTCGGCCAGCAGCTGCTCGTGCACTTCGGCTGGCGCGGCGGCTTCCTGCTGCTAGGCGGCCTCCTGCTGCACTGCTGCGCTTGCGGCGCTGTCATGCGACCTCCGCCGGGGTCCGGCCCTCGGCCCCTGCGGGACAGCGCGGGAGACGCTCCCGAGGAGGCCGAGGCGGACCGCGCCGGGCTGAGCCTGAGTGAGGCGCCCCCTGGCGGTCGGACCCGCCGACGCCTGCTGGACGTGACCGTGTGCGCCGACCGCGCCTTCGCGGTGTACGCGGTCACCAAGTTCCTGATGGCGCTAGGGCTCTTCGTACCCGCCATCCTGTTGGTGAACTACGCCAAGGACGCGGGCGTGCCTGATGCCGACGCCGCCTTCCTGCTCTCCATCGTGGGCTTCGTGGACATTGTGGCACGGCCAGCGTGCGGTGCCCTGGCCGGCCTACGACGTCTGCGGCCGCACATCGCCTACCTCTTCAGCCTGGCCCTGCTGGCCAACGGGCTCACGGATTTGAGCAGCGCGCGCGCGCGCTCCTATGGCACCCTTGTCGCCTTCTGCATCGCCTTCGGCCTCTCCTATGGCATGGTCGGCGCGCTGCAGTTTGAGGTGCTCATGGCGACCGTGGGTGCGCACCGCTTCCCCAGTGCACTAGGCCTGGTGCTGCTCATCGAGGCCGTGGCTGTACTCATCGGACCGCCATCTGCTGGTGCGCCCCACAGGAGCAGGGGGTGGCCCGGCCTAATGCCCCTAAGTCCGAGGGAAGTCCCCTTCCTGTCCCAAATGGAACTTACGGGAATGAGGGAGAAGGACTCCTCAGGGGAGACAGCCAGGTGGGGTGGACTTCCCCTTCCCATGGCCAATCAACCCCTCCGCCAGGCCAGTACCACCAGCTCTGGGTGGGAATGGAAAAGCCAGGAAAGGTGCTAGGAAGAACCCAGCGTTGGTAGCTGCTGGCCCACGGGGTCATCTCCAGCAGTTGGCGCAAAGGCCTTGTGAAGTGCAAATCCTTTTGCAGATGAGGAAACTGAGGCACGGAGGCCTAGTACAAGTTGCAGTCCTGAGATCAGAGTGGAGCCCTGCCCAGTGCTAAGTGCTCACATCTTTGAAACACTACATCTGAGTGATTCAGTCTCCCCAGCCTGTAAAGGTGACTCGAATAGGGACAGTGTCTTTGGGGAACCAGCCTTGGGGCCAGGAGCAGAGTGGGGATGCTCAGTGTGCTCACGTGGAGGAGGAGGGGTGCTGGGGTCTTCCCCTGTGTGCACTGCCTGCTGGAAACTCTGCACTTATCCTGAGAAGTGGTCAGGGAGGGCTTCCTGCAGGCGCTGGCACGAAGGCAGACCCACAGGCAGGGCAGGCCCGCAGAAGAGGGCACAGGGTATGTCTGGGGCACAGTGTTGCTACACAAGGTAGGAGCCAGGACCAGAAAGGTGGGGTGGGGACATTAGGGTCTTCTTGGGTTGTTGGTGATCCCTGAAATGGCAGAAAGCTTGCCTGTGAGCAGGCGGGAACTGAGGTCAGCTGCAGGAGGGAGCAACGGCCGGGGGAAGCCACCTTTGCTGGAGCCCAGTCTGCACTGAGATGGGGTGAGCCACCCATCCTTCCAGGGCTGGGCTAGCTGAGTGCCCTTGTGATCTTACCTGACCCAGTGGGAACTGCAAAGTCCCAGAATAAGCTTGCCACCAAAAGCCACAAACAGCTCCCCGCCTCCCCGAAGCTCAGGGACACATTTTCCATTTTCTTGTGTGACCCTGGAGTGGATCTAATAGGCAGAGAAGGCACATGGGGTGAGGTGAAGGATGCCACAGGGCCATGTGTGGGAAGGACCGGGACCAGGAAGGCAAGTTTGGGGTACTGCTCAGAGAGGTTCAGGGGGTAGCTGTCTTAGGGATCACAGAGGTACTTTCCTGATGCCACAGAGGTACTTTCCTGACGCCACAGAGATGCAGACTGAAGGGTCACAGCCTGGTGTGGCTCAGAGATAGGGAGCCCATGGAAGAACCACACTTTGGGAGAAAATACTTGCAATTAAAAGATTTTCCTATGACAGTAACACGGGCCTGGGACAGAAAACTTGGAAAATATAGAGAAGGAAGTAGGAGTGACCAACCCACAAACCCTGCCACAGCCATGCTGAAATCAGCGTAGGGTTCTGGGGCCTCCCAGGAGGGGCAGGAGGAGGCCTGGAGGTGGGGGGCTGTGCGCTCACACAGGCCCCTGAAGATTAGGTGGGAAGAGCAAGAGTTGGGGGCCCCCAGGACAGTGGGGCTGAGTCTAGTGCCCTTCTCTACTCCCGCCCCAAATATCTCCTGCTGGGCAACACACAGGTCACATGTGAGGCTGGAATCTGAGGGTGGAGGGGGTACCTTGCAAACTGTAAAGTGTCACTCACCAAAGGCCGTGGAGTGAGGGGTGAAGGGCAGGGTCCCCGCCGCAGGTCCTTACTTTACTCCCACCCCCTTTCACCCAGGCCGCCTGGTGGACGCACTCAAGAACTATGAGATCATCTTCTACCTGGCCGGCTCCGAGGTGGTCCTGGCTGGGGTCTTCATGGCTGTTGCCACCAAGTGTTGCCTGCGCCGCTCTCAGGACGCCCCGCCCAGCCCAGGCACGGAAGGCGGGGCCAGCGATACCGAGGACGCGGAGGAGGAAGGGGACCCTGAGCCCCTGCCCACCGAGGAGCCCCGGGGCCTTGAGGCCCTGGAAGTGCCGAGCCCCGGGGCTGGGCCCGCAGAACCTGAGGTGGAGGCAGGGCCAGGGCGGGCCTCCGAGTCTGTGTAGCTCGGAGGCACTATGCAGGGTGGCTGCTGATTTCAGAAACAGGGTGTCCCCTCCCGGAGCCCAGGCTGCCCCAAGAGGGCCTGGCACACCGGAGGCTGCTCTGGGGTGGTACCCGCCCGGGGTGCAAGCGGGGAGCCCAACTCCCTCATCCGCCCAGCGGGCCAGGGCCAGGCCCCATCCCCACTCAGTGAAACTGCTGTGCTCATGCAGGGTCTTGGCCGCGTGAAACTTAAGCTCATAAAGCTCAACTCAAAGACAACAGGTTCTGTGCCTGCGCCTCCGCTGCGGCTCCGGCTGCAACGCGGTGGGAGCGGAGAGTCTGAGAGGCTCTCCCGGGGCCCTCTGCGGTAGGAAGCGGCAGAGATAGAGGAAGGGGGTGGGGAAAGGTGTTTCCAGGCTTAGAAGAACTAGGGCTGGGGGTGGCCCTGGCACTCTGCTACCACCAGCCCCAGCCCCGCCTGCAGGCGGCACCCGCCACTCAAGGGTGGGCTGCTTGCAAGGAGGGGCCCGGAACCACCTGTGAGAAGAGTTCAGGTCTGTCGAGGACTGGGGTTGACTCCTGGCCCTGAGCTCGGGCTCCTCCTGCACACTGGAGGTTGACAGTAAATGACTCCATCCCGTGGCGTCTGGGAGCACCGGCCAGCGCCTGCCCTGTTGCCTTCTGCAAGCTGTGCCCATTCCCTCACCTTCCCGAGAGGGACCCTCTCCCAGCCGAGCTGAGTTCTTCTCTAGGAGATAAATGAGTGTCCTGAAGCCTTTTCTCTGGATATTGTGTCCCCTGTGGACACCACGTGGCTCTGTGGGCTGCCCAGTCACCTGCTGACCCTGGCATCTGCTGCCCCCGTTGAGTCCCGGGGTGTCTCTGCTCTTGCACTTTGACCCAAGTGCAGGGAGCTCGAGGTCTCACCGGCCTGGGAGACTCAGGATCTATTTCCTCCGCACCTGCCCTCTTCCCACAAATCCGACGCCCCTTTCTCGGCCTCCCTCCCTACAAATCTCGTGGTAGAAAACAGCCTTCCCACCACAGACCCCGCTCTGTCCAGCCATGCTCCCTGGCAGAGCCCACCCTGCTGGGCACCCCGCCTTGCTGGCCTCATTGCCCCTGGGCCCCAGGAGGGTGTGGGAGCCCTGGCAGATGCCCAGCCGACTGACCCTGGGTCTGCGGTTTCTGAGCCACTAGGGCAGTAACTCCATCTTAGTTTATTTTACAAACACTGAAGAGCCCTGACTGCACCAGGCGTGGCTCCAAGCTCTTTGTAAATGGTATCTCATCTCATCTTTCTAATAACCCATTGAGGTAGGTGTCATTACTAGTCACGTGCACAGATAGGGAAACTGAGGCATGGAGAAGTTAGGGAGCAGTCCTGGGTCGCAGAGGCTGTGACTGGAACCCAGGCAGTCAGTTCCGGGCTCGCTGGCCTCCATGCTGGCCGCCCCTTCGATCTGACAGCCCTAGGAGACACATGTAGACCCCGGTGACAGCCCATCCCTGCCCCCAGCTCCCAATCCTGACATTCTCATTCAGGCTTCCGCCCAGGACCTGCAAAATCAAAGCTACTAAGCACAGAACTAGCCCCGTCTCCATGTGGGACTCTGCTCGCCCCTCACCCCCGCCCATTCTCAGGATGACCATGTAATTTACTCCCCAAACAAGGCACTTTAAACGTGAACAGGGACACTATTACTAATTCACTGGGACCACAGGTGTGGACTGGGACTGCCCAGGTGAGGCAAGGCGTGGAGTCGTCCTGTTTCTACCACTTTGCGAAGACACAGCACTGTGTGGCTTTCTCCCCTGCGCTGCTCCCCACAGCCCTGGCAGAGGGGTGCACCCGGAGTGGCCAGGGTGCCTTTAATATTCTCTATTTGGGGCCTTCGCCCTCCTGACTCAGTGTCTGTCCTGCCCTTTCCCAAATAAAGGGTTAGTCCATGGCCAGAAGCACTGAAGAATCAGTATGAGGGCAGATGTAAAGGGCTCCAAAACGCACAAAGCCTGGGAGGTAGGGGGAAAAGTCGAGACTTTCGCACCTGGCGGATCTCCATTCAAATCCCACTCTGTCCCTCTACAGTGTGGCCTTAAGCAAGATACTTCTCTGAGCCTCAGTTTCCCACGTGTGAAGGGGGACAACAGTCCTGACCCACAGCGCTGCTGTGAGGAACAGTGACGCCACGAAGGGAATGCAAATAAACCCTGCCACCCACCCACCCTGTGATCAACGGGGCAGAGAGGGGGTGAGGAGGGGAGGGTCTGAGGCCACTGCAAAGAGCCCGACTCCATCTGGGTTTGTGTTTATTCGATACAGGCCCAGCGTCCAGCCCCTCCCCAGGGAAGTGGCTGAGCTAGGGGAATGAAATAAATAAAGGCCGCCGAGGTGTGAGTGTGGACGGGGCTGGGGCCAGCCTGGAGCAAGGTGAGGATGTACACAAGACAATGGCCCCAGCCCCGGCTGTCCAGCCCCAGCCCCCACTCCTGGCAGGCTCCAGGTGGGGCCAGCAGAGGTGCCCATCAGGAATGGATCCTGGACTTCCTGCCACCTCCAACCCTTCTTCCTTTCTGCCTTCTCCCTCCTTCCCAGGGCAGGGCCAGAGACCAAGCTACCTTCTGGCTGGGGAGGTGGGAAAGGAAGGTGGAGTGGCCAGTGTCCAGGTCCCAGGTCGTGGCCCCGGTGCCTTTCCTGGGAGGGAGCCCGGGGTCGCTGTGCTAGGACAGAGGAGCAGGGAGCCAGGCGCCCCAAGCCAGCAGGCCTTTATGCGCCACCCTGTTGCACGGCGGTCCAGCCCCGCTCCCTTGCTGTCATTCTCCCACGCCCCCTACCCCCCAGATCTGCACCCCGTAGGTGCACTAGGAGTCACACCAGCTTCCACCTTTGTCCAGGGGCCCGGCAGCCCCTCGCGCATCCCTGGATGGCTCCCCAGCTGCTGTGTCCTCCTCATCTTCATCTTCCTCATCCTCCCCGTCAGTGAACTCGTCCTGGCTGAGGCCGTAGGCCAGCGTGGTGTGGGCCAGGTCCACCTCGATGGGGAAGACGTCAGCATCACGTAGCACTGCGTAGCAGTCATTGTAATACTTGGACATGGTGGACACGAAGCGCTGCAGCTGGAACACGATGTCCTGGACTGGGGCAGGAGGGCGGGCGGACAGGCTCCAGTGGGCCGTGGCAGCCTGCCTCGTGGAGAGGACCCGCCAAGCCTGCCTGGGCCCTCCTCCCTGCCCTGGGCTCCCTACCATGCACCTCCCTGAGCCCTCATGCCCTGGGAGGGGGCGAAGAAAGGGCTGCCCAGCCCTATACAGAACCCAGGTCTCCAGCTCCCAGCTCAGGGAATGGAGGAGCCTACCAGGGGGATGGGCTGTGGACTGCACCCATGGACCCTCAGGGGCGTGGACCAGTCCCACCCAGGCCAGGCTCCAGGGAGGTGGGTGTGCTCCTGCCAGGACTCAGAGCTCTGCATGGCCTGGCCCTGGGACCCCAGCTCTGAAATGGGGAGAAGATGGGTTCCGCCCTACCATACCAAAGACAGTGGAGGGACTGACTGAGGTAGGGCGTGACGGTCAGGGCCCTGGCGGCCACCCAGGCCCCTCACCGTGCTTCTGGTCCAGCAGCTCCACCTTCTCCAGCACGTCCTTGCGCATCTGGGAGAAGCGGGCGCGGGCCTCCTGACGGCAGCGCAGGATCAGGCGGTACTCATAGTTGCCTGTGCTCACACGGTACAGGGGCTCCCCTAGGGCCTGGGGCAGGGAGGAGCACATCAGGGACCCTGGCTGGGATGGGGGGGGGTCTGCTCTGGGACGGACGGGGACAGGGCAGGAAGGCTCACATCCCTGCACTACCCAGCACTTTTCAAAGCTGCCAGGGCTCCTCGTTTCTGAGATGGAGAGATTGCGAGAAGCATTTAGTGACAGTGTTGTGAAAAATCGAATAAACCCAAACCTCGCCACATTAAATGAACATTTAGTCATAAAACGGACCTGATATAAAGAATGTTACAAATTAAAAAGACAAACAAGGCCTCTTAGAAGTGAGAAAAGTCAGTTTTTCCTGCATCACAAAGTGGCGGGGGGGGGTGCGCAGCTGGTCCGGGACTGGGCTGGGGGAGGGGTGGGTGGCCCTGAATCTCTAGGAACATGAGCCCAACCAAGACCCTCAGGCCTCTCCTGGGTTGGTCTGTGTGTCCCTGGCAGACCCAGGACTTTCTTGGGGCTCTGTGAGGTGGGTGGAGGAAGACTGTATACCCCGAGCCTTTCTGATCCCACGGCTGTGTTCCCCTCACCCCGTGACACTCACAATGCAGCTGTATTCCTCGTCGTCCATCTCCTTCACCTTCAGGCAGTATGACTGTGGGACAGGTGAAGCCAGGCCGTCAGAGTGGCTACACCTCCTGGATGGCCACCCTGATGTCCCCAGTTTTCCCCATGCCACACTGCCCCTAGGCCGCCCAGGGGAGCAGCCGTGCCAGGCCTCCTGGGCCCTGCAGACTCCTGGCTGGGATGAGCTGAGACCCATCAGGGAGAGGCTGGCAGCAGTGCTCAGGAACACAGAGGGTGAAACGGCCTTATTTGGAGTGGCTCAGGGAGGGGTGGCAGCAGACAGGAGAGCACACTCATCTGGGAGGGTAGAATGGCCTGAGAGGTAGCCCACCATTTACCAAACTCGAGTCCCAAGAGATGCTCTGGAAAAAAGGGTTCTATGGTCAAAGGGGCTTGGGAAGAGCCTTGTAGACTCACGCTGCACATGGGCCAATCAAAGGCTCTGAGAAGTCCTGCAGCAGAGGAACCCTCGTTTGCTTAATAGAGCATTTTCCCTCAACTCTTTTGACCATAGAATTATTAAACATAAAACTCATGAATGTCCCTTGGCACCTTTATAACCAATGACCTAGTCTAACCTATTATTAAAAGTGACAAAAAAATACCAAGGAGTCAGAGTGGTCCGGAGTGAGGGCTCTGCCCGCCCCAGGCTCTCAGCCTCCCCAAAGCTCTGATCACTCGGTGCACGGCCTAC